TTGTTGTGCAAGGGTTTGCTGTGTGGTTGTGCAGGGGTTTGCAGTGCTGGTGCATGGGTGGGTGAGGGTTTGCAGTGCCAGTGTGTGGTTGTGCCAGGGTTTGCAGCGTCAGGGTGGATGGAGGAGGGTCTGCAGACTCAGGGCAGCAGGACGTGTGAGGGCTTGCAGTGTGTGGTGCACGGTTGCACCAGGGTTTGCAATGCCAAGCCAGGACGTGCAAGGATTTGCAGCACCAGCACTTGGATGTGCAAGGGCTGGTGCAGCACTAGTGTAAAGCGCTGCCCTGTGCCACAGAGGGACTGGTGGGCACAAAGCTGTGGGCAGATGGGGCCCATACCCAAACCCAGCTGGCCATGTGCTGCCTTATGGCCAAGCTGTGGCCCTGATGCCGTCGCCGTGGTGCTGACCCGCTGCTCCCCGCAGTTGGGCTTCTTCCGCCGGGCACGCTACGTGCCGCCGGCCGTGCCACAGTACCACGCTGTGAAGATCCCACGGGAGGAGAGGCAGCAGTTCCGCGAGGAGAAGATGGGCACCATCCAGAGGAAGGAATGGGCTGTGAACTGGAGCGAGCCCAGCGATGGGCACGTCACCCCCAGCTCAGCATAACCCCAGGGACACCGATCATGCTGCTGGACCGCAGGGGGCTGCTGCATGCGGGACCCCCCCTCTGCTGCTGGCCATGCCCTGAGGAAGGACCCTCTGGTGACATTTGGGGATGCACACATACGTGTTGCTGTGCACGCCCGCCCTGACCGGGCACACTCAGAATTGCTTGCAGTGGGACAGGACCGCAGGGACAGCTCGGCTTCAGGGCATGGCTCGTCCCCAAAGGGATGGCACAGCCCCACAGCTCAGCCCTACAGAGTCAACCCCATTGCATGGGGATGGCTCTGCCCCAAGAGGCTGGCTTGTCCCCAAAGGGCATAAGGACAACTCAGCCCTAAGGGATGGCCCTGCCCTATAAGCATGGCTCTGCACCAAGGTGGTGGCTTGTCCCAGAGGGTCAGCTCAGCTCCATTGAACAGGGCATGTCCCCTAGGGGATGGCACTTCTCCAAAGTGATGACTTTTCCTCAAAGGGTACAGAGACTCAGCCCTATAGGTACGGCCCCATCCTACGAGCACGGCTTTAACCCTAAGTGATGGCTCCTAAAGGGTCAGCTCAGCTCCACAGTACAAGGCTTGTCTCCAAGGTGCTGGCACGGCCACACAGGGCTGGCTTGCCCCTAAAGGGACAGATTGCCCCCACAAAGGACAGCTGTGCCCTACTGGGACAGCTCAACCCCCCAGGACCCTATGGGCCTGGCTCTGCCCTATTGGGCTGGCACATCCCTACGGCGCTGTCTGCTGTCGTATCCCCCAGGGACTCCTCAGCCCTAAACTGCTGCCTGTGCCCCCCTAGGAACAGCCCAGCCCCACGGCAGTGGCTCAGCCCCACAGGGACACCTCACCCCCCACGCAAGTGCCGCTCTTCCCAATAAAAGGAGAAGCCCCCACGGTGCCAGCCTCGTTTCTTGCAGCTCGGACACGATGGGCGCGGCCCTGAGGCCATTTCCGTGCGCGGGCGGGATCGTGGGTGCGGGGTCAACGGTGGCACTCCCTGCCCCGCCCCCTTCCTTGTCCTCATCCCCATCTCTGCCCTCCGGGGGGCTCCGGTCGCCTCCGTGCTCGCAATGACTCGGGCACAACTCCGCCCTCAACCAAGATGGCGCCGCAAGATGTCGCAGAGTCAGTGACGTCAGAGGAGCTTCCGGTGGCGCCCGGAAGTAGTTATCCATGGCGGCTTCCCGGCGGACGCTGTCGAGGGGATGGTGAGGCCGCGGTGGGGCCCGGGGAAGCTGAGGTCCCCAACGGGGGCCCCGTAACGGTCGCAGGACCCCTCCGGAGCGCTCCTCTGATGGCGTCGGGTGCGGCGAGTCGCTCCGAGGACGAGGAGCCGCTGGCGGGGCCGAAACGGGGCTCGGCCCAGGCTTCTGGAGCCGTCCCGAAGCGCCGCAGCTCTTCACGGTACGGGGGATGGGGGTGAGGGTGTGTGGGGGGGGAGAGTTAGGGGCACGGGGCCCATCGCTGCTTCCTTCGGCCCAGGTTCATCAAGCGGAAGAAGTTCGACGATGAGTTGGTAGAGAGCAGCTTGGCCAAGTCCTCCAGCCGGGCCAAGGGGGGCGTGGAGCCGGGGCGCTGCTCGGGCAGTGAGCCGTCCTCCAGCGAGAAGAAGAAGGTGAGGGGTGGGAAGGCTGAGGGGGGGGGGCAAGAGGGGGTGGGAGGGGGCTCTGACGGACCCCACTGTCCCTTTGGGGTGACCCCCCACCACCTTTCAGAGTGGAGACCCCCAGTGCTCCCCAGGGAGACTCACTGTCCCTTGAGGAGGAGGCGCTGTCAGGGGGACCCCACAGTTCCTCAGGGAGGGGACCCCCTCCATTCCTCAGGAGGATCCCCAGTGCTTTCGGGGAGACCCCTCCCCACCCTCTCCCTTGAAGTCACTCCATTTCCCCTTGAGGTGATCCTTCCACCCCACACTGTCTCCCCAGGTCTCAAAGTCTGTGTCCACTCCTGTGGCGCCCAGCCCCGTCCCGGCCCCCAGCCTTGCCAAGCGGATGAAGAAGAGCAAACAGCCCCTGCAGGTGACCAAGGACCTGGGCCGCTGGAAGCCTGCTGATGACCTCCTGCTTATCAATGCTGTGCTGCAGGTCTGACCCTTCCCCTCCCAAAGCCCTAGATCCAACCCCCATGGCCCCAGGGCTCACTGTGCTCTGGAGGCTCTTGCTGTGGTGGTATTTGTAGCTTTTCTTTCATCTGAGGGCTTTTCCAGACCAACGACCTCACGTCTGTGCACCTGGGTGTGAAGTTCAGCTGCCGTTTCAACCTGCGGGAGATCCAGGAGCGCTGGTACGCACTGCTCTACGACCCCATCATCTCCAAGTGAGTGTGGGACTGGTGCTGGAGGGCAGAGCTGCCCTCAGAGGGGGTTCTCATGCCGCATTCCCCTCAGGTTGGCCTGCCAGGCCATGCGCCAGCTGCACCCTGAGGCCATCGCTGCCATCCAGAGCAAGGTGCTGTTCAGCAAAGCTGAGGAGCAGCTGCTGAACAAAGTGGGATCGGTAAGAGCCTGTGGGGCCAGGGCTTGTTGTAGGTAGGGCTTCATGCTGGCATCTGCTTTTCCGTGGGCATCCTCTGTGCCACGTGTCCTTTGTCCTCTCTGCAGATGAGCCAGCCCACACTCGACACCTTCCAGGAGCTTCTCCACAAGCACCCCGATGTCTTCTACCCCTCCAGGACAGCCAAGGCCCTGCAGCTGCACTGGCAGCTCATGAAGCAGTACTACCTTCTGGATGACCAAACCGGTGAGCCCAGCTCCCCTCCCCGTGCCTCCTGTGTCTCCCTCTCTGTGTCCCCCCACCTGTGCACTCCCTTCCCTCCTGCTCTTTCCAGTGCAGCCGCTCCCCAAGGGGGACCAAGTGCTCAATTTCTCGGATGCTGAGGACATGCTGGATGACAGCAAGCTGAAGTGAGGTTTGGGGGGAGCCCTGAGGGGGGGAGGCAGGGGGTGCTCCAGATGGTATTCTCTGATCCTCCTCCTCCTCTGCAGGGATGTGCGGGATGATGTGCTGGAGCATGGTGAGTTCAGCCCGCACCCCACTGCACAGCGGAATCCGAGCAGTCTGACTTGGCGGGGGGTGGGGGTGTGTTCCCCTCTCACTCTTTTCTTTCCCCTTTTTCCAGAGCTGACTGTGGCCGACCGCCGCCAGAAACGGGAGATCCGGCAGCTGGAGCAGGAGCTGCACAAGTGGCAGGTGTTAGTTGACAGCATCACAGGTGAGAGTTGAGTGCAGGAGGCTGTCTGACTGTCCATCTGTCCTTCCTTTCATCAGCCCTCCTCTCTGCTTCTCCCTTCAGGCATGAACTCCCCAGACTTTGACAGCCAGACACTGGCCGTGCTGCGGGGCCGCATGGTGCGGTATCTCATGCGCTCTCGAGAGGTGAGGGGGGGGGCTGAGGCCCCCAGCAGAGCTCTGCTCATCCCAGTGAGCTCCTCCAGCCTTCTTATGCTCCCCTTTCTTCAGATCACACTGGGCAGAGCCACGAAGGACAACCAGATTGATGTGGACCTGGCGTTGGAGGGACCGGCCTGGAAGATCTCTCGCAAGCAGGGTAGGGAGCAGGGCTGGGCGGGTTTGGGGGAACTCAAGGGCGCAGCAGCTGTGCTCCCCTCCCCCTGCATTGCCCCCCTAAGGCGTCATCAAGCTGAAGAACAATGGGGACTTCTTCATTGCTAACGAGGGCCGGCGCCCCATTTACATCGATGGCCGTCCTGTGCTTGGTGGCAACAAGTGGAAGCTCAACAACAATTCTGTGGTGGAGGTGAGCGTGGGGGGTGGTGAGGGGTCTCAGGGCCATAGGAGGGGTCCAGTCCTGCTCACTTCCCCCCTTTACCTGCAGATTGCCAGCCTCCGCTTCGTCTTCCTCATCAACCAGGACCTGATCACGCTCATCAAGACGGAGGCAGCCAAGATGGCCCAGCAGTGAGGAGAGGGGGCTGCTCTGCTACATCCCCCCCCAGCCTTACAAGGAGAGAGCTCCCCTCAGCTGGAGGGGGGTGGGCCTCTCCCTCCCCTGGCCCCAAGCTTGTGGGCCTGCAAATAAAAGTGTTTTACCCTCACACCTGTGGCTCGTTGGGAAGGGAGGGGAGGTAAATGGACACACAAGACCTTGAGCTGTGGGGGCAATATTTTGAAAGTCCTTTATTGATAAAGGCAGAGTTGCTGTACTCACATGTCCCACTGAAGCAGCAGCTGTTGGTATCCAGGAATGTGTTTTGCAGAGCCAAAAGAACCTCATTTGCTGCATCCCCCCAACCCTCCTCCTGCCACCCCCAAGGATTGACCCTGCCCTCCTGCTGCCTTCCTGGGAGGGCCTGATCCTTTCCCCCACTGCACCCTAAACTGCTGGCTGGTGGAGGCAGCAAGGAACAGAGAGCATTAATTAATGGACAGTACTAACGAACACGAACATCGCCTTTTATTCGGACAATGCTAAGTAACGGCCATCACCGCTTGGTAGCAGCTAGGATTAGCTCTGCTAATTGATATTGCTCTTTAATTTAGGGTGGGTCTGGACAGAGAGGGAGGTGAACTGAACAAAGAGTTTTCCCCTCTACATAAACCAGAGAAGAACACGCTGTGCAGTGTGCACAGGGTCCTGCTGGCACAACGCTGGGGGCTTAGCCCTCACAAACCCCTCCTGGCTCCTTCAAATTGCCCCCTGCTCCCATTTTGCAGCACTTGTCCTCGTTGCCAGCACGAGGGCTGGGCTGTCCTGGGGTCATTCCTTCAATGTGAGACCCCAGGGTCAGGGCAGAGTGGGGACAAAGAGGCTGGGGGCTGCGTTTGGGCCCCCTGTGCCTACAGTGACATCAGAGCCATGGAGATTTTCTAGAGGGGAAAGAAAAAGGCAACAGTGACAGCAGCAAAGGGGCCCCGAGCCCAGGTGGAGGTGCAGTAGGTGAGAGAAGAACACAAAGCAGACGTCAGAGAAAGAGAAGGAAAGAAAAAAAAAATAATAATAATGGCACAAGAACTGAGAAGTGTAAACTTTCCTTTGTTAATATCTCTAGCTAGGAGCTTCCTACAGTCTCGTCCCCTTAGGGCAGAAGTGGGGAAACCTCAGGAGCTGGCTCCCTCCTGGCGGCTGGCGCGGGGCTTGCGCTGCGGGAGCCCTTTGCTGTGCGTGGCAGCAGCTCCGGCCGCAGCTCCGGGCTCCGGGGGTTGCACTTGGTGGGGGCTGCCCGGGCTGCTCTGGTGCCGGCCAAGTGCCGGAGCTGCTCCGCCGCGGTGCCGGGGGCCGCCGGACCGCCTGGCCGGGGGAGGAGCGGCGTGGGACTGCGGCCGGGAGCCCGGTGGTGCCGATCGCCTGTTCCCTGGGGCAGCCTGGAAGAGAAAGAGAGGGGAGAGGGACAGATCCCACGCTGAGGGCTGCGGCCGCCCGCTGACGAAGCGCCGAGGCGACGCGTTTCGTGCAACGCTCCTCCTCCGAGTCGGGGAAGAGAAAAAGCCCAAACGCGGTGCGAATCAGAACCCAGAAGCTGCGCGCCCTCAGACCTCTCCTGCTCCTCGGGGAACTTGGAAACCCAAAAGCTCACGGGAAACAGATGGCAGAGGCACCTCACTGCTCCCCAGAGAGGTGGGAAAACAAAACCACCCAAAGCCGATGTGAAGCGGAGCTTGGGAAGTGTGTGCCCTCCTGCCACTCCCCAGAGTTTGGAAATCACAAATGCCAGTATGAGGTGAAGCAGAACCTGCAGACTACGAACCCCGTGCCTCTCACTACCCAGAGTTTGGAATACAGAAACCCCAACAGAAAAGTGAGGCAGAGCCTGGAGATGGAGCGCTCTCACACTCACCCCATCCTCAGAGAAAGCAAAACCTCTGAGGTCTCACATGATGTAGAGCCCAGAGTTTACACCAGACCCCGTGCCCCTCCTGCTCGTCAGACAGCTGGGAAAACAAAAACCCCGCGCTGCCAGGTGATACAGAGCTCACAGCCCATGCCCATCACACCTCCCTGAAAGGCAGGAAAACAAAACCCCTCCAAAATCACCCAAGAAGCAAAGGCAGAGAAGCAGGGCTGCAGCAGCCCTCCCAGCCCCAGGGCACACGTACCTCTCGGTGGGGCTGGGGGGGGTGGCTGCCTGCACCCTCCACGGCCGCCTCCATGGAGGACGGGGGCTTCTTGCTCGCTGTGGTAAGGCTGATGGCAGAGGCACAGGCGGGGCTGGAGGGAGCAGAGATGTTGCTGGGACTGCTTGGGGACACGGCTGTGACGGAGCTGCAGCGGGAGCGAGTGGAGTAGCTGTTCTTCGGGTGAGAAACTGGAAAAGAAAGACCCCAAAATGTGCGCTGTGTGTGTGGGGGTCCTGACTGCTCACCCTTCAACCTCTGTTGGGATCTTGGGGCAGAACTGTTGGAGCAGCTCAGGGCTGGAGCTGAAGGCGTGAAGGGATAGCAGAGCTTTTCCTGGTGAGATTTGGGTTTGGTTGTGTGGACTGTGCGAAAGCTTGGGACCAGAGAAGGAAGGAGAACGGCCCCCATGGCCAAAGAACGGGGAACCCCAAAGACCTCCCCCACTGCTCGGGAGAAACAGAGCACCCAGCACAGCCCCCTCCCAGGCTGCTGCTCTCCCACCTGGGGAGAACACAGGGAGTTTTCATGATGGCAAGGCCTCAGCTGCCCGGCCCTCCCTGCTCACCTTGCCCAAAGGCAGCAATGCTCTTCTTCAACGCGTCGATGTCACACGTAAACCGTGCCACCCTGCCCAGCTCCTCATCATACTTGCGCTCGCTTACAAAGTGCTGCGAGGAAAAGAGAACACACACACGTTAATTCCAATCCCTGCACCCAACCAGAGCACAGGAATGGAGACAGAAGTCTCCAGTTTGGGGCTAGTAACAGATATCTGAGGCGGGTGCTGCTGGAAAAAAAGCCTTGGCTGAAAAGGCAGACGGCTGCAAGGACTTGAGAAATGAGGAAAAGGTTTCTGCATGACTTCCACCAGCTTCACTTGGGTTGTTTCAGTCCCACGGTGGCTCCAGCACTGCTCAGGATGTAGATAGAAGCAGAACTCCTCAGCAGCACCAATCCTGCTCAGGGCTGGGAACTGCCCTGAACTGCAGCACCAGCAGCTGGATTCTCAAGCTGGAGCTTAATTGATCCTTCACACAACTTTGTGCTGACCTCTTGCAGGCAGGAGCCGGCGTGCCAGAGAGCAGAGGTGGTTTCTGGCATATAAAAGTGTTTTATGGAATATAAAAGCAGCTTCTGCGCAGCGGGCAGGCTCTGTGAGCTGGGTGGAAAGGCAGAGGTCAGCCTGCACCATGGGAGGCTCTCAGCACTCTGCTGATGACAAAGCTGTGGCGTTGCCACATTCCCAGCTCAGTGCCAACACACAGCGGTCAAAGGTTGAAGTGCAGGCACCAAGGGGTTAACGTTTGGATGATTGTTGGTATTTTGCAAACCATGTATCCCAAGTTAAGATTCAGGATGAATTTGTGCCCTTCTGCACGGCTGCAGAGAGCAGCAGTGGTGAATTTGGAAAAGACGCCGCACCAAAACTTGCTCTTCTGAAACCCGGGTGGTTACAAAAACACGCAGAGGGTTTGGGTGAGAAGAAGCAGGAGCGAAAAGCTCACCTTGATATCAGCTCGGAGCTCGACCAGCTGCTCCTCTGACATCCGCACTGCCACGTCGGTCAACTTCTTCAGGGCCTCTGCCTTCTTCTGCCGGCTCATCAGGATCTCCACTGCAGAACAAAGCACAGCTCTGAGGCTGGAGCAGCCCCAGCCTGGCCCCTCATTGGTAAGCAGCAGGTTCCCCCTGTCAGTGCTGCGCCAGCTGCACAGCAGCCCCAGCATCACCCTCCTGCAGCTGTGTATGTCTCCAGACTGAACCTGAGCTTGAAGCGGGCACCACGTGCTGTTTTAGCTGCTGAGTGCCTTCCCACGTCCCCTGGGCTGCAGGGTGCAGTGCTGTTGGTGCTGTAGGGTGCAGTGCTGTTGGTGCTGTGAGCACCCTTTCCAGCTCCCTAGGAACGCCAAAATGTTCAGCGGTGCCTTTAGGAGAGCACAGCTCATCCCACCCTCTCATGCAGGCACAGAACAAAGGCCTCAAACTGCAAAATCCAGTCCCAGTATGCATGGTGTACTGTTTTGTCTGTTCCCAAATACACAGTGCTCTACATAGAGTGAAAAGGAAACAAGGGAGAAAAATCTGCTTCCAATGGGGCTGTCTCTAGAGCACAGCACCACCTGCAGATCTACAGGCTGGGTGCTCAGTGGGAGGAGGGAGCCTTACTTGCTTCTGCCTTCACTTTGTCCATCTCAGCCAGCAACGCCACCTCGCGATCCATGAGGCTGGGGAAGAACACAGAGAAAGGATTTAACACCAAAGGGGACCACAGAATCCCACAGCAGAAGCACGTTGGGTTTCTGGGTAGGCCAGCCATGAGCAGGGACCAACAGAGGGCAGCAGGAGCCTTGGTTCTGAGCTCTGCTGGCACCACAGCTTCAGTCAGCACCTGGCTGCATTTCTAAAAACCTGCTGGGTGTGTGGTCACCGTGCTCTGATAAAGTCAGAGGTGAGGGGAGAGAAGCAGCAGCTGCACAGCTCTGGGCTTTATTGCAGAGGAAAGCCATGGTGCAATGCTTGCAGAGTTGCTCAGAATGCTCAAGCCACAAGCAGGACCCACAGCACTTGGGGTGGGCAGCAGCCTCTCAGGAGCAACACGGTGAAGGCACCTGATTGCAGTGCTTCACTCTTAGCTTATTCCAATGCACCAAACTGTCTGCCAGCCCTGGAACCCAAATTCTAGCGTTCTGCAGCACTTCAGGGCAGGGCACATCCAAAAGGGCTGAGGGAGCACGCAGTGGGCACAGCCCCCACCACGCACCCATCTCTTGAAGCCTGAGGATTTTTCAGCCACCTGAGAGCACCCAAGGTGCACCACAGGAAACTCAGCAGGCTCTGAACGTGGCTGTTGCCATGAGACCACAATTCCCCCAGGCACTGTGGCTGCAGCCTCTGTGCAAGCAGAGTTGTACCACTACCCACCGAGACTCAGGTTGCAACAGCAGGAGAGAAAACACTCACAGCACAGAGGCAGGTGCTGGCTTCAGCTTTGTTCCTTGCAGAAACAAACCCAGACCCTCATATTCACCCTTCCTGCAGATGCTTTTGTGCTTCCACGCTGCTCCTGCAACCTTCTCGGCCCTGAGTCTGTGCTTCCCCCAGCAGCTCAAGTGCATTCAGCATCCTATCAACGAGCTTCCTTTCTGTTTTCCTAATACAAAAGCTCAGTCTTCATTTTGCCTGTTAGCTTTACAAGGCTTTCCATGCAGACACAGCGTAACACCAGCCCTCCAACTCAGGCCACAGGCTTTTCAGTGAGAACAGTCTGCTTGAAAACAGGGAGGAATATTTCTCCTCATAAACCATAGGGCATCTGAAAGGCAAACTCCAACCACCGCTCCCACTCCTCTGCGTGTCAGAGAGGACTGAAGCAGGATCAATTTGAACAACTCCCTCTGAACAGCAGCTTTGACATTTGGCAGCTTCTGTTGATTTACGGCTCTCTGTCCATCTGCCTTTTCAGGGCAGGGATTGTTTCTGCTCGTAGCACAGCGGGGGCCTGAGCCAGGTCAGGCAGTCGCGGCCCAACTGCACAAATACAAGGGCGTGTGTCAGAAGCGACACTAATAAGGCTTCACCTTCCTTCCAGCTGTCTCCCGTGTGGCTCAGTGGCGTGGAGCAAGGGGCAGGGGGTGGGGAGATGCCCATCCCACAGAGAGATGCCCATATATTCTGTGAGGAGCTAAGCAGGCAGGATCCCAATGCGGATACAGCACTGCCTTGATGAACTTGAGCCAGCTGTGCTGCACCTACCCCTATCACCTCCTCCCTGAATGCACACACACACATCCCTGGCTCTGACAGGAGCAACGCCTGCTTTATATGAGCTTTATGCGGGCTGTTTGGGGCTTTCTCCTGCAAGCAAACCAGCAGGAACCTTGACAAAAGATTACAGCCCGCATCCCTTTGTCATTTAATTTACTCAGCGGAGCTCAGCTGGAGTCCTTTACCCAATTTTACAGTTGGGCTGGCTGAGGAACAGAGGTCATGTTGCTGTGCCTGATGTTGGCGTGAGGAGCAGCTCGATCAGACCCCAGCAGCCTCCCATAGCTGAGCACACCGCCCTCCAGCTGCCAGATCCGCTCAGGAATGCGCTCAGTCCTGGGCTGCTGTGTGCTGGGACAAGACCACATAAATCTGAGAGACTGAGCTTGGACAAAGCACGCTTTGGGAGGAAGAAAAAGGGGAAGGAGGTGAACTGAGACCTGCTGAGGACCAAAGCAGCACTGAGCGCTTGGTTGTGAGCTGCTGTCAGGAGAGATACCTGCAGCCCAGCGGCCCCTGCAAGATGCTGTACGCATGAGCACGATGCCAGCTTTGAGGTCAGGCTCTGTGCAGCAGTCCCGAGGGCTGCCTGCAGGGCAGCTGCCACCTTTAAGCCCCACAGTGCAGCAGTGACAAACCTCAATACAGCCCTGTGCCCGTGGAAGCACTGAAGCTGAGCGTCCCCTCTGCGCCCACGAAGGCTCAGAGTGCTTTCTGCAGCGCAGGCAGAAAAACATGCTGGGAATTCAGGGCTGTTGGGATTCCCTCATTCAAGTAACCCAACCACCTCCAAATCCTACAGAGCAGGAATCGACACCTCCGCTCAGGATGGATTTTGGAGATCATGGTGCAGCATTAGAGCCCCCTCACCCTCACTTCTGCCTGCACCAGCACGCTGCCAGGAGAGAGAAGATGAAGGTCCAAACCTGCGGAAGCCTTGCTGGTTCAAAGGACACCTGAAGCACGTTTGTGACACACAAGCGAAAACAGTCTGCACTTTGCTACTAATGCCCTGTCTCAGATGAACAAACCTGCCTTTAAATCAGGTTTTCCTTTGGTAGAAAGCCAGTTGGAGCTATGATTCAGCAAGAGGATTTAGCTATTGGGTCCTGACTTGTGTCATAGGCTTTAAAAATACACTAATTATTCGCCGGGTCGCAAAGGGAGCTGGGGGAAGAAAAGAAAATGTGACTGTACAATTTCTGTTTCAGCTCAACTGCGTCATTTTTGGGATAAGGAAAGCAGGCTGCACTCTGCAGAGCCGTGGCCAACGGAGCGTGGCATTTGCCAAGGGAGGCTCTGGTGGCCCCACGCCAGGCGGATCCACACATCCTCCTGTGCCCAGGGCCACATGAGGCTCTTTCACCTTCGGGAACGTGACGTGAGAGGTGCGGAGCCGATAGCGGCGAGGCAAAGGGCAAAGCAGCGCTCACACAGACCCAAAGCAGTGACATTTTCCATCCTGAGGACGGGATTTCACAGATTTTACTGTAAATGCACTGAGAGGTCGACAAAAAACAATCAGCCCTACTGTTTACGGAGATGATACTGAAGCAGCACCGGTTGCCATTCAGTAGGACAAAACCACTAACAAAGTACGGTGTAATACTCTAATTAAGTTAGGACTACAGATGTCTCAGCTACTGAGGGGTAAATGCCCTCCAGAACCCTCAGCTATTGGCGGGGTAAATTCCCAACACTGCAGCAACACAAGAGAGGAAAGCTGGGAGCTCTGTGCCGTGGAGGTCATGAGCATAAAAAAGAATAAGAATGCAGCTGAGGGCAAACAGACACCCCCAACCATGGGGGTCCGCTCTTCTTTAAGGTCAAAAGTCAGCCAGAAACACCTCCTGTCACTACTTTCAGCACTCTGAACTTAAATGCAGAGCAGCATTCCACTTCAGGAGAGCACTTCCTGGTGGCAAAGTTCAACCCCAGCAGGCACACAAAGAGAAAGCGTCACATGGATCAACAAGGTTTGCTAAAAGGCTTCGGAGCACAGCCAGCTCCGTATCACCGCCACTATGCATTCCTGCCTTGGAGGCCATGCAGTTTGCAGATGCAGATCACTTCTGACACGGATCTACAAGACTGCCAAATATCTGCTTTAATCCTGCGGTGCGATATCAGCATTTTAGTTACCTGTCAAATATTACTCACTTCTGGCAAAAGGAACTGAGGGAGTTGGCTGACGCAGCCACCAAGGCACCCTTGGTAAGGTGAAGTCCCTGGTGACTGGAAGAAAAGCAATGTCAGACCCATTGCTAGGAAGGGTGGAAAGGATGAGGCAGGGAACCACTGAATTGTCAGCCTCACCTCTGAGCTGGGGGAGATCATGGGGCAGATGCTCCTGGCAGCGATGCTAAGGCACGTGGAAGAGAGGGAGGTGATAGGGGATGAGCAGCATAGCTTTACCAAGGGCAGGTCCTGCCTGATCGTAAAAATGACAGCGCAACTGAGTCAGCAGACAAGGGAAGAGCCACTGATGTCATCTATCTGGACTTTGACGCAGCCTGCCATAAAATCCTTCTCTCCAAACTGGAAAGATGGGCAGACTGCTCAGCTGGATACGATTTTGTACCCAGAGAGCGGTGGCCGAGGGCTCAGTGCCCAGATGGAGACCAGCGATGTGTGGTGCCCCTCGAGGGTCAGCGCTGGGACCAGAGCTCCTGAACATCATCAGAGAGCTGGGCAGGGGGAGTGAGCGCACCCTCAGCGAGTTCGGAGATGACGAGATCAGCAGGGAACTCTCTGTGCAGTTTCTTACACTTCTTTATCAAATGCAGTCATGTTTGTATAACCAAGAACAATTTCTCACTAACAGATCCAATCAGCCAAGGCATCGAGTGCATCTGGTGTCAGGACTTTGGGAATGTCACTGTGAAGTGCTTACCCAAAGCAATGAAAATGGTAATTAAAAAGACCTGAGTGCACCTGGAGGGAACACTGTGCACTGTATTCAAAGCTTGGTTTAAAAACGGAGAAGCAGCGCTCTGCAGTATGATCATTACTGTGTGTGTGTGTACCTTCAGAAGGAGCCTGCTCTTCCACGCTGTATGCAACCCAAATTTGCAGATTTCAAATACAAATGTTTGTTTTGAAGAGACACAGACTGCTGCACTCTCTGCTCCCAGCACAGCCAACGCCAGCACCCAGCTAGCAGCACGTTACCCAGCCAGTTCCTCCCACCCTCTGTGCTTAACAGGACTTCAGGAAGGCCACGTTAACTGCCTCATGCAGACACAGAATCAAAGTTTGCCAAGGAGCCGGATGGACAACAAAGCCCTGAATGGGGCACGGAGCTCCTGCTGCATGTGGGCAGTGAGCTCCAACACAGGCTTTGCACAGCTGCCTGCAAAAAGCCTCTACAAATTGCAGAGCACAGGCCTTCAGACATGGGCTTAATTCCTGACGACACGCTGAGCTCTCAAGCGCTGACAAACGGTGCTCGGCCAGTGGGGCAAACACAAGCTTGTCATTAGCCTGACTGGAGAGCTGAAGTTTTATTCTGAATTCATTGATCTTAATCCTCAACACATCTGGATCCGTTCCTACATTTCACTTACCTACTCTGCAGCTCAGCAAATACCTGCTTCATCTTCTTAATGGAAGCATCCATTTCCTCTTTCACCACCACCCGGTACCGAGCCAGTGAGACGGTGCAGCGCTGGAGATCCTTCACTGATTTTTCAATATTAGAACCTACCAAGAGACAGAGAGAACTTAAACAGCCATGTCAATCACACTGCTAAATCCTCCCAGCAGGGGAAATCAGGAGAATGCTTTCCCTCTTACTTTTAAACTATGTCCTGCCTGGTTTTAATACCTCCTTTCCCTCCCCCATTACAGAGGCACTCGGCTCAGCACAAGTTCTGCAGGCTTTCCACCGAGGAAAGCTCTCCCAGAGCTTGAAGGACTTCATTCTGTGAGCAGGGACATCTCTCTACAGTTTCAAATTCACAACAGTAACCAAATGCATTTGAGTTGCTTTGGGTTAGGGGCACAGCCACCGCCTCACCTCACTGAGCTAAGCACGACAACCACATTCACCACCGCTGTCTCAGGTCCTCCTGTCCCCTCTTGTTATTGTAAGAGAAAGCACACGAAAGAGAAAAAAACCACGGGTAACAGGAGGCTGTCACTTCTTGTAACAGGGCTGGTCCCAACTACTGTCCTCTTGACACGTTCGCACAACAGAGAAAGAACCCAAAGGCTCTGCGAGGGAGCAGAGAAGAATGGGCTAAGCGTATGCAGCGAGGCTGCCTCCCGCCCTGCCTTCTCACACATACGGGTTTGCTGCTCCAGGCACTACATCTAAACTGCTGTCAAGATTCCTGCTGTGCACGGGGAAGAGGAGGAGCAGAGTGCAAGTTAGAGGCCAGATAATAAGAAGTGTGTTAGCTTGTATTAAAATCAACGTCCAGCCTGCCTCAGCGCTGTCCGTCAGCAACGCAGCGGATGAGGTGGTGAGAATTTGGCTGCTGGCAACCCGCTGTGACACAAGGGAGGGCGCAGACCCGGGGGCCTTACCCAGCTTCTTGTTTGCAGGTGAGAAGGCGACGTTGTCCAGGCGCACAGCAGGCAGGGAGGTGGGGGCCGTGGGTCTGGAGCCGGACCTGCTGGCGCTGTGCTGATCAGGACGCTGTCTGAGAGACGAAGGGCTCTGGGCAGGGTGCATGGTGAGAGATTTGGTGTCGAGGTCTGCTATTCCATTCTCTAGTTGAGGCACTGCCGGAGCAAAGCACACTGGTGTGAAGGGGAGGGGGGGGGGGGGATGATGATGACACACATAGAGGACAGCAGAACGCTCACCAGCCCTTTAGGACCACAAGCAGAAATCAAAGCTTGGGGTGAGCTGCCCTTTCCTGGAGGACCATACAAACAAATCAGCTCTCAAAGCTGACCCCGGTCAAAGGAGGGACACAAAAGGCGAGAGGCAGCTCCTCTGCTTTTTAAACACCCAGCGGGAGCCTCCTGCCGCTTCTTCTGGGGACTAACCTGTTCTCTCAGGCATGTCTGGCACCGAGGCCTCGCAATCCTCCAGCTCTCTGGCATCAATTGAAAGCGCATCCAGCCCTTCGCTGAGCGAGTCCACCGACTCCGTGTCATGGGCACAGCCGTTGACATGGAAACCGTTAATTCCCCCCTTCTCCGAGTTTGCTGACTGCTCCTCTTCAGTGGACACCAATTTCCTGGGGTCTGCAGGGCCAGGGTTCGCCTCGGCTTGCGGTTTCGGTTTGGTTTTCTTCTTCTTGTTCTGAGGATTAGGCATCCACACCACAGAGAGAAAAAGAGAGAGAGAGAGAGAGAGAAAGAAAAATAAAAACGTTAAGCTTTAATTCCTGAAGGGAAAATTAAGCTTCTGCTTACCGCCTGAAAGTAGCTGAATTAAATGCCTTTTCAGCCAGCCCTGTTGTTGATCCTGTTAACAGCAGGAGGGATTCATTCAACAATGAGGACAGATATAGAGGCATTAACGACGAGCAAACTCATTATCCCCTCCAATGGTGAGCCAGCGGGCCCAGGGCATGGGATGAGGGCTGTGGGAAGCAGTGGGGCTGTGGGGGGCTGCCCCACTCCCCTTGGGGTGCTGCCCTAGCCCTCGCTCTGACAGCAATTCCCTCGATCCCCAGCACACGGCTCCTCGGTCACATTCCTCCCCTCTCTATTTTATCCTGGTGCTTTTTAAGTATTCAAAGGAGTCCTTTTGAATAATTATGATTTTCTTCCTGTCCTGGTGGATTTGGACATTATAATATCAAGTTCTGAAAAACTTTGCAAATCTTCCTTTAACCGTTTCGCAGAGGTCTGAGCACAGAGCTGGGCAGGGAAGCCTACATGACACAGAAATATTTCCACAGAGCTCAGCATTAAATGCAACTGTTCAGCTCCAAAGGTTACCGATGAAAAATGGAACGGCACAACCATCTGAGCAGTGAATTACGGAGCTCTGCTGCAGCAAACGGACCTGAGAAAGATTTACTTCAGCGTGGGGCTGGGTGTGTGGATTAGGAGTCCTGCAGAGGGTCAGCAAAACAAAAGCTATTGCAAGGGCTGTAAGTCTAGAAGCTTTTTTCAGCCCAACACAATGTCTCTGACAACGAAACCGAGTGCAGACATGATGTTAGGGGTTAGCTGGCAACGAAGGCCCCATGCAAAATCCCTGCTCTTAGCAGCGAGGTGCCTGGTAACACAGCAATCATCTCTGGCAGTCTGCTCTGCTGCCAGCAGTGTGCATGCATGCACAGAATGGTGCAGAACACGTTTGCTCTCTGGCTTCTCATCTCATCAAAATTACCAGGAAGGCAGAGAACGGCAGGCAGTCTTGATTTATGCTCTCCCTCATCCTCAAAGAAATAATAATAATAATAAAAACCAGACAACTGCATTTGCAAGGTGTATTTAGAAGTGTTACCTTTTTTTTGCCTGTGACAGTCCATTCCTTCAATACTTCACTGGCGTTACCTGAAAGAAAAAGCAGTGATGAGCAGTGAGGATGGCACACATGCAGTGCCAACAGCAAGAGCCACCTTCTCTGAGGTCACAAAATCCAGTTAGCACTTCAAAGTATTTCAAAACCCATCTGGGTTTCAAAGTACAAACAGCAGAAAAAAATGAAGCTGAAGACGTTCCCTGCTTTGTACACATGAGTGAGAGTTTCTGTAATTGAGTATCTAACCCCCATTACCTAAAGAGTTATCAAGTCCTTATCTCTGCCTTAACCTCGAGTTGGACAAACATCAACAAAGAGTTGGAAGAGAACCGTCTGTGAGCCGTGGAGGGCATGTGTGGGTGAGCTGAGAAGCTCCACAAGCTGCTCGCCATGTGGGGTATGTGCTGCACTCTGACCCTGCTGCAGGAGCTCCTGAAGGCCCACAAACACAGCAGGTACAAGCGAGGGCCACTGAGATGATCGGAGGGCTGGAGCACCTCTCCTGTGAAGAACAGTTGAGGGAACTGGCTTTGTTTAGCCTGGAGAAGGCTCCAGGGAGACCTCACTGTGGCCTTCCAGTACTTGAAGGGAGCTCGTATATATAAACAGGAGGAGGAATGGCTGTTTACCTGGGTGGATAGCCACAGGACAAGAGGAAATGGTTTTCAACTGAGACAGGGGCTAGATATTAGGAGAAAGCTTTTTACTCAGAGGGTGGTGATGCACCCAGGTTGCCCAGGGAGGCTGTGGATGCCCCATCCCTGGAGGCATTCAAGGCCAGGCTGGATGTGGCTCTGGGCAGCCTGGTCTGCTGGTTGGAGACCCTGCACGCAGCAGGGGGGGTTGAAACTACGTGATCATTGTGGTCCTTTTCAACCCAGGCCATTCTATGATCCTACGACTCTATGACAGAGCCCAGAAGCCCACTGCAGTTACCTTCCATAAATGCTTGCACTGTTTTGTCCACGCAGTTGTCAAAATGCTGGAGCACGAGGACAATCTCATTGTTGCTCCTGTTTGGGACTATGGCACGCACTGCGTTGATCTGGAGGGAAGAGAAGAGGTTGACAGGTGAAGCATTTGCTCTACCTCACATTGCAGCCCTGTGCAAGCAGTTTGAACACCTTAACCGATGCCCTTCCTTATCAAACTTTCATATGCCAGAATGATTTAGCCTGAATAAAATTCTTCTCCTGAAAGAAGCACAGTTAGCTCTCAGACAGAAGCATATTTAACCTCTGACAGCAGATAAAGACGCAGTACTAAAATGGCAAGCTGAATTCCCCCGAGATGCACTTACCTTCTCCTTCATGTTTTCAAAGGTTCCTCCTTGGGCCATCACAGTGTTGGACTGCACATCGAAAATGAACCCGGATGGATCTGTGAAGACAAAGGAGATGGGAAACTCACGCCAGAACGTTCAGGTGCTGGGAGACATCTGGAGAGCTCCAGTAGTTACAGTGCTTGCTGGGCAGTTCTACCAAACAGAGGGCAATTAGCTGCTGAGAGCAAAGCACACAGTGCCCCAACCTTAATTAAAGGACAGATTCTGTTCCTCCCGCCACATTACAGGGAGCCAATGAAACTGCTTCAGCTGCAGCTCTGCTTCAAGCCAGTTGCAGACCAAGCCACAAAGAAGCAAACACAGCCCTAGCAGGGCTGGTGTGACATAAACCATTACCAAAGCAGGCCGATTGCACCCTCACATTTCTGCATCAATCCCTCTGTGAGTCCAGCAACAAAGAGCAAATGATCCCCTCAGCAGCACATTACCAACCTCCCCCACCTGGAGATACAAGAAGGCAACCAGACTGATGAATGGCTTTGGAGACTGAGCAGCTCCCCACCAGCTCCCATCCTCGGGGCAATGCTAATCTTCCAGATAGACACCAGAGCAGAGCCAGCCTCCAGCAACAGATTCACTCCCTGCCCTGGGATCACCTCACGTGCCAAAGGCCCAAGCATCTAAATTTGGGATTTTGGGGAAGGAAATGCATCCAGCAGCCTGCTCTGGTGGGCCACCACCCCGAGCTGCTGATTCATGTCCCTTCCCTCACCTCCTCCAAATTACTCACACGCAGTTTTGAGACACACCATTGACTTCAGCGGTTCCCAGACATTGATGTAGCATTTAAACCGAGATGCCTCCAAACGCAGTGACAGAATTGTGAACATGATGGAAAGGTCAGGCTCTTATTTAGGCTACAGATGAACGCTTAAATTCTTCCCTCACTCCGTCCTTCCCCATTTCAGCCCCATGAGTGAGATTGTCTCCTGTTTTTGAAGCTCACGCAAGTTTGAGCTCCCAACTTTCCGGCCCTTCATCTTGTAAATGGCTCTCAGATTCCCATCACCGAGTGAGAATTAGAGATCTTTTCTCAAAACCCTCACTGCAGAACAACCACCGAGGACCCAGGTGCCAAGGAAGATGAAGCTCAGCTCCCCGCTGCAGCGCTCAATCCTACCCCTTCCTACAGCTGCGTCTGTGCTGGAGCTCTTGCAGACGGAGCTGTCAGCACCTCACTCCCACCACAGCTACAGCTTCCAGCCACGGTCCTCCCAGCAGCTAAAACGTTGATCATGCAAAAATTATGCAACGGAGACTTCACTGTGTTCATGTGATGCTGCCCAGGAGCGCTCCCGAGCATCATTAGAAGGGCTGCTGGCACTCAGGTCTCTGGCGGTGGCGGGGATCTGCAGGAATGGATGGAATTTAAAATGCTCCATCCTCACGGGCAGACGTCTGGCTGCTGCCACTGCCTTCAGGATTTGGGGAATGAACACCTTCGTGGGGCTGTGGCTGTGCGTGGCAGCACGGAACGCCGTGTCATCTGGATGCTGTTGCATGGAAACACACAGCGCTGCCCTGCGGATGCGATGCAGTAACTCCAGAACCATGGTCCTAATTGCTTCTGTGCTCATAACTGCAGCTCCCAGAAAAAGGAGGGGGCAAGAAATCACTCATCCCACATCATTTACTTCTGTGCTTTGGCACTGTTTCATAAATTGCTTCTCTTCAACAGAAGCACCGAAGCTGCCAAGAAGAATCTGCCCTGCCCAGCACCACACTGCCTGCTCACTTCAGTTTCCTTCCCCTGTAACTCCACTAATCAGTCACTCCTATGTGAAAGGTGTGCAAAAACAGCCCAAGAAATACCCGTTCTGTTTCCTGGGACATCAGGAACCCAGCAGCCTAGGACAGCCCTGCCTATTCTGGGTCGTCCTGACTCCTGTTTGCCACTGCAGGACCGAACATAGAAACAAATCATTTAGCTTACAAAACCAGGAGTGTATCGCTACCTGCTGAGCAGAAATTAACACTGAGATACAAACCAGCACAGATCAAGGCCCCTGCAGGACTTTCCAGCATCCTCCCTTTTTCCCTATGATCCGGGAGCACAGACACCACCACCACACATGCCTCTAAGCCCCTCCTTCCCCACAGAGCACATTAAGATGCACGAGGGGGTCCATCTGGCTCACAAACTGCACTCACCCCATCACTGCCTCCAATTCAGAGCTGGGGCTCAGTGCCTCCATCAGCTGCTGCAGGAACTATTTTAACACCCTGTGGTGTGGTCACTGTGCTTCAGAGGGAGCCCAAGGAGGTGGCAGCTGCACCTCAGGGCTTTGTCTAGACAAGAAATGCCACGTTACTGCTGTTGCTGTAAATAGATCCGAATGGCCCAAGCATTCATTGCAGCTCTGAGTCCAAACCTGACCCCCAGAGACGTGGGGGTCTCCTTCCCCGAGAGATCCAAGCCCTCCCGATGCTTTTTTTGTGCATCCTGCTTTAGCACAGGGCCGGACTGAGGGTCTGCACATGTCCTTTCCAACTCTGACAGTTCTGGGATTCCCTCTCCCAGCCAAAGGCTGAGGAAGCAGCATTACACAGAGCTGGGATTCTGCAGAGCTTCCACTTGAATGGCACACTGTTAGATGAAGGATGAGATTAAAACAGAACTTCCCCCACACCACACCTGTGCAGGCTCCCTGTGACATTCTCCCCTCCCCAAGTCCACACAGGGCAATTTTTCAACAACAGCGATGCCCCCTTGATGTATATGGAGAAGGAAGAGCCCAAGGGCTGCACTGCATCCATGCCCAAATTCCATACCCACCTCCCAAATCTCACCAACACCCTCCTGAGCAGCTCAGATCATAGAATCATAGAATCATAGAATCACAGAATCACAGAATCACTAAGGTTGGAAAAGACCTAAAAGATCACCCAGTCCAACCGTTCACCTATTCCCAACAGCTCCTACTAAACCACGTCCCTCAACACAGCATCCAGCCTTTCCTTGAACACCCCCAGGGTCGGTGATTCCACCACCTCCCTGGGCATCCATTGCAGTGCCTGACCACCCTTTCTGAAAAGTAATACTTCCTCATGTCCAGCCTGAATCTCCCCTGCCGTAGCTTGAAACCATTCCCCCGCTCACCTTGTTCCGCAGCGCTCTCATGCAACAGCAGCAGGTGGGCTCCTGATTTGCTTTCAGAACTGCTGCATTATTGAAAGCAACCCTCTCACCTCTCAGCACTCCTCACTGCTCCTTTGTTACACAGCAAAGGGGTTTTGTTTGGCTTCCAGAGAAACTGAGAAGACACTCCTTACCTGCACAGGGCCTGCATGACATCTGCTGAGCACACCAGGGCTTCAGCCTGCAGCATCAAATGCTGACAGCCCCGATGCCCTCCTGGCCTCAGAAACCCAGCAATGCCAGCCCTGCAGGGTTCCCTGCTGCCTCCTGCAGACTTCCCTCTATTCCCCACCACCCTGTTGCTTTTCTCCCCACGCATTCGCTGACAACAATTGCTGGGCTCCGTTTCCAGCAGCAGAGAGAAGACAATTTCCTAACGGCTTGCGATGAGGCTTCCAAAAGCACGGATGCAGCATTTTAAAAATAACTCCAAAATTATCCTATACAGTAATTTCCATAAGTGCTGCTAATTGCTTCGAACCACGCATGGAGCTGGATGTCAAAGGACAGCAGTGCTGCTCAGGTAGGCACCATTTCTGTGCCAGAGCTGCAAGAGGCAAAAATCTACCGAGAACAAAAGCGCTTCTCTCGAGGCAGAGGACACGGATTGTCAAAGCTCTCGCCTTAAATTATTAATTAGTAGTCAGTGCAAATAAAAAGACAACCATAACCTTCATAACCCCTACCTCTCCCCCTCCCCACACTTTAGAATTAATGTCTCACGTGCAGCAAACAAGGGCTCTCTGCACTGAGCTGCTTGCTGCAAGAACAGCTTTGTCTTCAGTGTGAAACAGCAGAAAAGGGAGAACCTGCACGGGTGCTGCATGGGTGCTGCTGAACTACTGAAAATATTTCTTTTCTGCCGCTTTCTGACAGTGAAAATGGGGCAGTATTAATATATGCAGCAAGTCCAGAATCAGAGCTGTCCAGCTGGACAACTGAAACGCTGCTACAAATGTCACAAAACCCAACAGGTTATACGATGTCACCAAGATGGTGACAAGAAGCTGTCAAGCGTCGCCAGCAGCCTGGAGAGGAGTACAGCAGAAGCAATTAACCCCTCTCCTAATTGATAACTTTGGAATCAATCGTGCTGTTTATTGACATTTGATTATAGCATATCCACATGCATCTTACCTTTTGGGTTTTGCTTTTTAGACATCTTGGTGCGTTTGCTCTGATGAGCAGCTGTACGAGAAGGGGGAGGAGGGGAGGGAGAAAAAGAAGTCGTAGCCCTTGAGCAGTGCAGCTGTGATTCACACACGGCCTCCAATCGAGGAGGGGAGTGGATGGCGTTTGGTCTGGGATGGCAAAATCACAGCAGAGAGGGCAAGCAGGGTCTGGAGCTGTCAGAATTCAGCTGACAGCCCCACAGAGCAGCACGGCTTCTTCCTGGGGAAAGCTGCTCCTTGTCACGCGGCTGCCGGTGTCAGTTGTCTCAGGTTCTAAATAACAATGGGGAAAAAGAAAGAAAGGAAGTCAAGAATTGCTGCCCAGCAAGCCCAAGGGGTACCCCACATCCCTCAGCTTGTCAGCACATCTTACTGCTGGTTTTTAAGGAGTGAAATCTGTATTTTCCTAAAGGTGCTTTGGAACAGCTAGCAGAAAGCAACGTACAACGTAAGGCAACGAGAGCCCCATGGCCTCACTGTGGATCCCAAAGGCTCAAGGCACTCTGTGATTTAAGCCCCACACCAGGTGGGTTTACAGCCACCATAAAACGTTTGCTAACGAAGGATGCGGATGGGGAGCAACGAGGATCCCTGGTGTTTCAGCAGCCAGCATCCCAGCAGCACACAGCAGGGACACTCAGTAAGGATTATCCTTATGCTTCTGGCTCTCGAGGGAGGGACGGTGCCAGGTTAAACAAAGAGCAACTGGACACGGCATGCAGAACAATGGGGATCCGGCCGGAGCAGCCAGGAAGAAAAGGCACGACCTGCCAATGCCATCTATCAAATGCAGGCTGAAGGCAAAGCATTACGGAACCGGGAGGTTCTGTGCGTTCCTTGTGAAACCACAGGCTTGAAAACGCACAGAGGAACACACAGCTTGCTTGCTTGAGGAATACTCAGCTCAGCTCCCACCCATCCCAACAAAGATCATCCATAGGGGCATTCCCAGGATATGGTTTAGAAGCCCAAAGAATGCAGCAGCACTGCTGCAGTATGAGGAGCTGAAATCCCAAAACGAGAGCAGGGAAGGATGGGGATAATGATTTGAAATGCATCCCAGGTTCCACTTCCCAGTGCACGGGGAGCTGAGCACCTTCAGGTCTGCACCCAAACCTTCTTGATAATTCCACGCCTTTAAATAAATGCACTTTTGGATAAGAAGGGAGAACAGAAAGGCACCAAACCCGGAGCAGCACACAGAGCACTTCAGGTGAACTCCCTCCAGCTGTCTCTCCAAGTCAGCTCGGTAAAAGAATGGATTTTTACATACAAAGAGTGACTGCTTACAAACAAATTCAGCAAGGAACGTTTATAAGCTGTCTCTGCAGCCTCAGAAGCGAGCACCTGAGGGGACACCACTGTAAAAAAAAGCTGCCTGAAAAGTTACTGGGAGATCTCCAAGTATCTGAAGCAAGGGCACGTTATCACCCAGCAAATAGCTTCTCCCCACTTCAGAGGTAGAAAATGAACAGTAATTAAAACGCGTGAAGAGAAACAAGCAGTGCACCGCAGCTTCCCAGCCACCCTTTGGCAAGCCCAGCTCTGAGCTGCCTGTGCACAAAGTGAAAAAGCAACGGAGCGGGGAATAAAATAACCACTAATGGCAAACATTCCTCCAAAATTAGCACCAGCAACCCCCAAGGTGGGATCAAGCAGCTCAAATCCACGTATCTACAGAAACAGCAAAGAGTCAACACAAAACAAGACAGAAAGCGACCTGCAGCATTAAAATGAAATACCGAATGGGATGGAGGGGGCATAAAAAAAACCCACAGAAACCCAGTGCTGCAGACAGAGCGACGGAACCCTCCTTGATCCCAGCTGGCACGTGGCTTTCCCGAGCCACAATGGGAATGCACATTTTTGCTAAGCACAGACCGGCTCGCTTTCAAATAAGGAAAAGTCATTCACAGCTTTACAGACAGCACAGCAAGAAAGAAATGACTTCAGAACACCCCGCCCGTGGTGTTCTCTTTCCAGGCCATTCCTGCCCTGTCTAGACAGAGCATTTCAGTGAACTTTCCAAACTTGAGAGCTCCCTGTTTAAAGGGAAAGACGGACGGAGAGAAACGCGCCCTGGGGATTTTTATTATCCTACCAAAGGTGCTTTTGCTGAGAAACGTGGGGCTCTGAGGGTGAAACCAGCCAATGCCTGCTATGTTACAGCAGCCCACGTCAAGCTCAGAGGTCTCAGCCCCCTCTCAGCATTTCACTTTTCTGCCCCCACCCAGTGTGAGCTTTTCCTCAAACGTGGACCTTTCCCAGGCTCACTGGGTCCCCTTATCAGTGCGAGGAAGTAAAGCTCCGTCCTCCAGCTGACGAAACTCTCCTGCAGCCACCCCCTGAGCCTGCAGAATCCCTCACAGCAGTTCTCCTGCACTCAGTGAAGCCCCCATGGGTGGCTGCTGCAGAAAAAAGGGTCGTCTCTCCCTCCAGGAGCATTTCCCTCATCCAGTCTCCAAACACAGTGGTGGATTCCTGATGCTTCACACAGTGACACAACCTATGCCTCAAGGTGGGAACCTTCCTTCTGCTTCTCTCACAGCAGGACCCCTCGGCTTGAAGCGCTCCAAAAACCTCAGCAGGATGCAGGGGGACCAGAAAAAAGCATCTGTCCCAGCAACAGTGTGTACCACTGCTGCTTTCAGGCTTCATTTGCTACCTTTCTGAGCGCAAGGGTCTCAGGGATCTGCCAAGAATTATGGCATAGAGTACGACCGTCCTTTAGATTGGGGTTGAGCTCTTAACCAAAGCATCTAAAAAAAAGCACAACTTTCTGAGAAAAAGGAAGGAGAAAGGTGATGGGAAATAGAAAAAGAACCTTCCCCTGCCCCGCTGCTGTGTGGTGAGGATTTCCTGCAGCTCCCCAAGCTCCATGCAGGGGAAGGCTTTTCTTGCCATCCCCTCTCAGCTTTCCCTTTGACCTCAGCCACAGCCTGAGGCAGCAATTAAAAACAAGCTCTAAATTTTAATTGCCAGAATAACGCAGCACCAACAAATCCTCCCGCAGTCACCTCTGAGCTCCTTCATCCGGGATCCAACCAGAACCTTCTGCCGAAGGCTTCATAAAACATTTAAATGCTCCTTCAAGGGAACGCTACCGGGAAGTGCTGCTCATGGGACGGCTCTTAGGAGCACAGTGGAGCTAGAAAGCCCAAAAGGACAGAACTTTATGTGGTACCACAACAACCAAACGCTTGGGACAGCTGGAGCTGAGCACAACTCGGCTGCTGGTGGAGTCACAACCCCCCCACAAGCCATTAACTGCTATTAGCCCTCATTAACGAGGCACAACAACGACAGAGACAGACGCCAAAGCCCCAAACCCGGTGTGATGGGGAGGAGAAGCACTGACTCAGCCGTACCCGCAGCCTGGGCTCGTTCTGCGGGCCCTTCGTGCCCGATGGAGTCTTCAGCCAACCCCCCCCCCAGACCCCAAAGCCCCGTGAGCCCATAACGCCCAGCCTCCCCCCAACCCGAGGCCTCACAGAACAGTTCCCCACAGCCCTCCTCCCCGCGCCGCGGCCTACGGGGGTCTCTCCTCTCACCGTTTTCCCTTCCAAATCAGCCCCCGGTGTCCCCCAACCCACCACCTCATCTTTCAGGCCCTGCTCCCTCCAGACCCCTTCGGGCCCCCCTCACCTCCAGGCCTCTCTCCCCCCCGCCCCTCAGCTCACCTCAGGCCGCCGCGGATGCAGCGGAGAGGAGGCGGGGGCCGCGACCCGGTCGGAGCCCTCAGCCTCCCTCTAACCAATCGGTTCCGCGGATGCCGCGAGAAAGCCAATAGCGTCACGCTGTTCCCGGAGACCGCCGCCAATGAGAGAGAGGAGGAGGGGGAGGCGAGGCCCGCCTCCTTGCGTTTTCAGCCAGTCTGGAGCGAGGTGGGGGGCGGGCTGAGGGGTTCAGGCCAATGAGAGTGCAGAGCTGTGTTCTGTAACGTGCGCAGACGCAGCTCGGAGAGGGGCGGGGTTAATCGCTGCCCAGGACCAATCGGGTGCGGTACTGGAGAGGCCACGCCTCACCGCCCCCTGAGGGGCGGAGCAAGGCGGGGCAGCGGGGGCCGAACGTGGACGGAAACTGCCGAGAGCCACCGCCCTGTGGCGGATACACCCGAATCCTCTCCGGAAAGAGCCGAGCGTGAGAAAGGCGGTGACTGAGAGCGGATGTAGGAGGGTTCGAGGCGCGGTTCCACCTGAGCGATCCCGCTGGGACCGGGGTGGGTTGTTGGAAGCCGGGGGACTCGGAGATGGACGAGGTCCCCAGGCGAGGTCCTCAGGCGATGCTGCGCACGGATCCGCGTGCAGTGGTTTGCATGGTGCCCAATGCAACGGTTTGCACAAGCCCCAGCGCAGCCATTTGCACAGATCCTCGTGCAACGACCGGCACGGATCCCTATGCAATGATTTGCACGAGCCTCCATCCATTGGTCGCAGCCATCCCCGTGCAACAGTTTACACGACACCTCGTGCATTGCTTTGCACGGTGCACGTCCCCGGCCCCAGCACCGCATGGCGCTGAGCAAAGAAACAAAGAAAGGAAAGAAACCTCGTGTTACAAACCCCGGCTCACAACCCCCCATCAGTGCCTCTGCTCCCTGCATGCCGGGCTCAGCCTCCTCCTGCTGCTGCCCTGCGGGGTCCTCCCAGCGCCTCGTAGGCTTCCTGCAGCTCAATAAAGCGTTGCTCGGCCTCTTCAGCCCGCTGCCTGTTGTGGTCGGGGTGCCAAACCTTCACCAGCTCCCGGTAGCTCCTCTGCACCTCCTCAATGCCAGAGCCGGGCGGGATGCCGAGAACCTGGAAGAGGCAAAAAGGGATACAATGGGATGAGGTGGCAGCCTCCCCCTCCACCTCAAAACACTCCAAAATCAGCCACGTGCACCCCATTCTACCCTCCTACAGGCTAAGGGCAAGCAAACCCCATTCCCCCCAGCGTTTGTCCCCCAAACACCCCAAAATCAGCCACATGCAACCTATATACCCTCATCTGTATACCCTCAACAGGCTAGGGGCAGCCAAACCCCATTCCTCCCAGCTTTTGCCCCTGTA